AGCAGTCAAATTGTTGCCGTGATTGTAATAAGCATTGAGCCTTCTACCAAGATTATGAAATTCTTAAATTCTTTCAAGGTAGCGAATGTAAATTAATCATTAAAACTAAATTCTTTAAAAATCTACTTCCCTCTGTTTATTTTAAAAACAAACTAAGCACATAGGTCATGTTGATACATTGTATAATGAGCAAGGAATGTTCTACCAAAATTAAAAAAATTATGACCACTGCCATGACCCTTGTGTCAGGGGTTCTGGAGTTAGGTTGAGGCTCTGTTAGTCGGATAGTGAAATTGTTAAAATTCTTTGAAAGTTTTCTTTTCTGCTCCAGGGTATTTAGCAGATAAGCAAATGATAAGTGCAGATTTGATGCGAGAATGTGCTTCTTCAAAAATTATGAAATTCATGGCCCCTCAGTCAGAGGTTCTGGTGTTAGGGTGAGACTCTATTTGTGATGTAGAGAAAGTGCATGAACTCTGAAATTCCTCGTCTACTCCTGGGTATTTAAAATACAATCTAAGTATATCGTTATGATGAGCAATGGTGTCTCTACAAATATTGTGAATTTCTGTTCATGAATTTTGGAGACAGGGTTCGTCGCCATTGATCACAAAGTGAAAAGGCATTAATTCTTTGAACATCTCTACTCCGGGGTATTAAGTAGAAAAAAAGTTTATGACCATGAGGGTGCTTCGTCCTTTATTAAAAAAATTACTGACCCCTGGGTCAGGAGTTCTGGTGTAAGGGTAAAGTTATATTCATTATATTGAGAAAATCCAGAAATTCCGTAAGAAGCTTCTTCTCAAACCTTATAAATTTAGGGAATCCTAAATAAATTCCCTGTTTAACGTCACATGTGGACATATGTATTGGAGAATTTGGAACTTTTAAAAACAAATTGGCATTTTAAACTTTCTATTCCAGTTTGCTTTTTTGGCAGCTAGAAACTACATTCTGTAGGGATAAACAGTATAAGGTCCTTTGTGAGGTACATTTGAGCTATCATTTAATTTGACAGTTTTCCTGAAAATGATCATTAAACAATAGCCTTGCATAATACACGAAATCGTACTGACAGTATTTTAATTCTTGTTTGATTGATTGTATATTGTTTTATGCCCCATTCGAGAATTTTTCACTCATATAGAGACGTCACCATATACAGGTGAAGGGCTTCAAATTTTTACCTTTACTCGGCACTTAGGGCCATTGAGCAGTGAAGGATCTTTATCGTGCCAACGCCTGCCGTGACACGGGACCTCGGTTTTTAAGGTCTCATCCAAAAGACCCGCAACTTTCACTTCAAAGTGCAGATCCCGTGGCAAAGAAACAGTTGCTACCCATTTATTATCGACTTAAGTCAGTCGAGGCCGAGATTCGAACTCACGACCTCCCGATCACAGAGCGAGCACAATTCTTGTTTGAAAATTCTCTTTATTTTTTTCTCTCCCTCCCTCATATATTTTAAAGTTTATAGTCCACGTTAAATCTAGAATTAATTACAGGTAGTCTTAACAAACAGAGTAATTGCATGGTTTTCATGGACAAAATTGTGAATTTCGTAGCACCTGGGAAAGGTGTTCTGGTATAAAGGTGAAGCTCTTTTGATTAAATAGTAAAATTACATAAATTCTTCGAAAATCTACCCCTTGTTTTTTAGTGATAAAGTGCATGGTTATAATAAACAAAGTTCGTATTTCAAAATTGTGAATTTCCTGGCCTCATGGTTAAAGAAATTCTTGATTACTAGCAGTAAAAAATGTTCTTGTCTGATCCACTTTCCGTAAAGCTTTGGCGCTTTTAGTACATCTTAAGAAGCTCTACAATTTAAATGTATACACAGTTGTTCATTTACTTAGTTTAATATATATATATATATATATATATATATATATATATATATATATATATATATATATATATATATATGGTTGTGCCATTTAGGAGACCGCTCATATTTATATATTGGCATTAAGTACCCCAAAAGAATAAGCAGACCAAAACCGGTCGCCTTAACATTTTGACCCTCTCTGAACAGAAAATTAATGGCTTTTTGATAATAGAATGACAATAGTTAATTTTAGTTTAGTATATTTCTGTCCCTTAAATACCAAAAATATGCCAAAAAATTCTGATTTTAGAAATTTTTAAATTTAAATTTCAAGCAACGTATATATTGGTATTATTATATATCGCCATTATGTAGACCGGCTAAAACTTGCAAAATTAAATAAGATCTGCTATATATGTCTTATTTCTCCTAGTATTTAGTTTTAGATATTGTTCTCCCACTAATTTTGGTTATGTACAATTTGCTAAATAGAATAAAACTTTTTACGAGAAAATGAGCTTTAGAGTTTCGTGTTCATCAACTTCGAGGTTTTCGTGCGCAATGCCTTCCGAAAATTTTCGGAAGTCCTCGGTATCCTCAACGAACTTAGGAGAAATAGGAGTCAGACAAAATTTTGGTAAGTAATAACAAATTACGATTTTTTAAATACTTATTCATGATACATTGACTATATATTTATATACACCCAATATCTTGCGTTTAACATCTGGTATTTACGTATACTTACGTATACTTATTAGCATGGAGGAAATTCGAATTGTAGTTTAACAGCGTGATTTCAATTAACAATTGATTACTTGAACAAAATAATTGTAATGTGTGCTTATTCATAAATACACGAATAGCATAATATTAGGCTGGTGGTATCGTTCTTGAAAAGGGGGGGGGGGGCAGAGATAAATTAAATATTCGATAATTTACCTGAAATACTAACTCTAATTCTCTATTATACGTGGGGTAGGGTTGGGTTGGAAATGGGAGTAAGGTGTTGCTAGGTTCCAACTTTTTTCACAGCCTAACAGCCTAATCCAACCAGCCTTTCCTGAACAATTTTAATAGTAAAAGATTAATTGGGGGAGGGGAGCAGCCCCCCCCCCCCTCCAACCACGATACCACATCTCTGATTCGATTAGCATTTCTGAAAATGAAAGTTTATTTTTGAATGTGCAATTGTTTATTAAGAGATCTTGTCGTTTTTGAATTAATATATTTAGATTCCATTTGTACATACTACATCAAATCAATTTTGAACATGCATAACCAATGTAAGCTGATAATCATTTTGACCTTTGGTTCCAGTGTAGTTTAATTTTTGAACATTATTTTGTGTAATTAATAGTTATAAAGGAGAGGACGTTCTGAGTGTTAAGAACTTGTGTCCGATCCTTTTGTTGTAATACTAAACAATAAAATATGTTCAAATCAAATATCACATCTCTAATGTCTATGGCAGCGGATACATGCATATATATATGTAGTACTACATACAAATTTATGTATCTGACAGCATCCCTCTTAGATTTCTTGTACATAAAGCATAAAGTTGATTTGGACAAGCCCAATATAGCAACAATTTTGAAATATCTTTAAAAAATAAAGAGGAATTAGGGGCTACAAACTGCTAAAAAATTCAAAGGGACCAGATTAATATTTTTAATCAGGTTAAAAGTGGGGTTTGGGTCCAGGGTGGGTGGAAATATTCAGTGGTGTATATTCCATATAGGCAAAATTTAAAGGCTGTAGGCTACACATCATTTTCTTATGGATAGAAATTTGGTTGAAAAGGGGGCAGAAAAGTTGATGATAAATCTTATCTATTAATTTAATTTTGTTGCAAATGTCAAAAAAAAAGCATTTTTGACAATGCACATTTTTGTACCCATACTTACAGTTTAACTTTCTGTTTAATGACAAAAATATTCCTATAACTATAAAAATTAAGCCAAAATTCAAGTGTTATATTAGGTTTGCATCAGCCTCCCACTCCTTGCTTACCCATTAAGGCAAATGATTTCCTTTATTATGAATTTGTTCTAATTTTATGGGAAAATATATTTATAATTATGAAAGTACTAGTAAATCAGTGTACACATAAGTAAAAATTACCTTAACTAGTTGAATTACTTTTCAGAATTTATTGCATTAATGACTTTATTACCTAACAATCATGTAAAACTTTATTTCATGGCCATAGGAACCGGGGGGGGGGGGTGGCCCCCAATAATTTTGCCGATATATAGAATACTATAGAACACATTGCTAATATATGCTTGTGCCCCCGCAATAAAAACGCCTGATGACTTTTTTTAAAATAGCTTTTCAAGGAATTTTTGGCTGTTAGTGCCCCCCCCCCCTAGAAAATGTATGGCTGTGCTCCCCTCCCCCCAAACTGAAATTGTTTCCTACGGGCCTGTATTTATTGATTTTTTAAATGTTTCATTTATTTATAAAACCATTAAGTGTTTCATTTTGAAAAAGAAATAAAACAAGATAATCATAATTTCAAAAAGAAGTTGAATTTCAATAATAAAAGAGACCCGAAGAGAAATTGCTTGTTGTCAAGCTTATTATTTGATTCATTAATTGTTATTGATTCATATGAAACAGATCCTGATCAATTTAAACATTTTTTTTTTGCATATAATAAAAAAAATACTGTTTAACTTATGCAGTTGCCATGGAGAAATTAACTTGCTTAAAATTTCAATTTAGTTATAAAACCATATAACAATCATTTTTTTTATTTTAATAAAATTGTTATGCAGAGTCTACATGTATTACTTGTATTTCTACATTAGAAAGTTATGGTCGGGTTCAGTTTAATTTTGATCGGGTTAGTTAATACATTGTTAAGTATGATCAGCATGGTATGTTTTTACAGTTTCCATTTCTAAACTTTCCTACATTTTGTACAATGGCTATTTATATGCCATATATTTTCCCATGAATTTTTTATTTGAAATTATATATTTTAAATTCTGACCAGATTTCTGAGAAAATTTTTAACTGCCTAGGGTGAGATTTATAACAGAGACGTGTATAAAACCAATTAAGATCTCTGAATGAATTAGATTTTGTTGACTTGTTTGCATTTATGCATTTATTTTTATTATAGTGTGTTCGGTACCACATAACATGCGAGAATACCTTCTCCAGTATGTTGGAGAGAAGATCAGCAAGAAAAAAGCGTGTTAGGACATGAGAAGCTGACAGAAAAAGATTTTTTCATTATCGAAAGGGACATGTACAACATCCATAATGGTAAGAAAAGAGAATTATTTATAGTAATATTTATTTGCTTCTATAATGTTCCTTTCGATAACTTTTCACTCATATTGAAAAGCCAGCAATTGAGAACCAATACTCTGTACTCAAGACCCTTAATTGAGCAGTGAGGAATTTTGTTCGTGCCAGCACCTACTACATCATGGGACCTCAGTTTATACGGTCCCTACTGAACACCGGTCTCCACATCCTGCAGTGGGATTCGAACCTGTGATGTTAGGATCAACTCCTTTCTCTGTGACTCTAAAGCAAACACTCTAACCACTGCGCCATGAGAGCAGCTAGTCATATTCCTTATGATATGTGAGCTAGCATTATGAAGATTACGTTGCTGTAGATCATAGGTTTCTACATAGTTCTTTGTATGTTGTGCTAAAAAACATGGTGTTCATAGGTCTGGGACTAAAAGTTTATGAGGGCATACTATCTAAAAATCACCCACCCATTATCGTCTGATCAGCATGATCAGTAGTATTAAGCAGGAAAACAAATATTTGAAGAGACATACTGTAAAAATAATTTTGTAAGATCTTTGAAAACATGTAATTTTAGAAGTAGGTAGACATATAAATATATAATTTTTTTTTTTTGTTGATAACAGTTGATTAAGCCAAAAATAAAATTAGCTTTGTTTGGTGTTGCCGGCCGACTCACATAAATCAGTGCGGTCCAAAGAATTTTTTCAACAGATACTAATCATAATTTTTATTTCTTTATATTCATCCGGATTTAAGTGTTTGTACGTTTGTACGTGTTTGTACGTTTGCGTAATATATACAGAATGAGAAAGAATTATGTAAATGCTTGATTGATCAGTTTTCATTTATAAGCGTCTATGTGATGTTGAAGAAATGCGTATCACGAATCCAAGCATGGCTGCCGAAAGCGGTAAAATGTAAACACGATATAACAGAAGTTGATGGCATGACTCTCTGTGGTTATGTGGTTTTAAAAGTAAACTGATGAATATGATATACCAGTACGAAATAGAAATCTCATGGTACAATGTCCTGTCCGATTTGCTAGATGAATCTAGCTGCCATGCTTGGATTCGTGCACAAAATAACAACTTTACACTAATTTAATGTCAGTGATTTTTAATACCATGTATATTAAAGGTTTAAAACTAATAGGGTTTGAAAATCAATGACAAAACTGGGAATCAATTCGGACTGTGGTTTTTGTTAAACTTTCGGAAACCCATGACGTTCGGATACATGTACTAACAACATGTACCATTTCTGAAATTTAAATTAAAAAAAATATTTTCCCTACCTACCAACCCAAACATATAAAGACTAAGTCAGCAACGCCAAACAAACAATATTTTAATTGTGGCCTTAGGGTAGGTGGTCAGTGGTGTGATTTTGACCCACATTAATCTGATTATTTTTCATACTTAAGTTTTGTTCGAGTATATGTCAGAATTTGTTGTGCTACAACGTTTTCTGGATAATTTTTTTCTATGGAATACCTTTTTACAAGATTTCTTTTTTTATGAATTATTTATTGAATTTGTGAAATACATGTGTTCGACTTACAAGATATATGTGTAGGGTTATTGCTAGATAGAACAATCTAACTATGTCTCGGGACAAGCCCTCACAGACCACAGTTAGAATATGTCCCATATGGTATACTTGCAATGTAGCAAATTGGAGAGGATCCGCTCCGAAATGATTTTGAAGAATACAAAAAAAGTTGCACTGAAAATAACTATCAAATTAATCATAACAAACCTTTTTGAGATTGTATATGCCTTTTAACCTAAAAAATAATCCATATATTAAATACAAAAATTCAACTCATTTTCTCAACCTTTTTTCCTCGCTTCAAATTTACACCATGTTGACATTCGGAACTCTCTGGATTGTTCATAGAAAATGCAGTCAGTTCGAGTTATCGAACGTGCTTATTTCGCTACATTGCCAATACACAGAACGAATTCTATCGTTAAACTGGGTCCGTAGGACCAGTGGCGGATTTAAGGGGGGGCACATCCGGCGCGCGCCCCCCTAAAACTGTCAAAGTTAGCGTAAATCATAGTTTCGTCAAGAAAATGTAAAAATGTCTACTTGGTAGACCTCATTTTTACCCTACAAAATGTCTAGAATCTAGGAGCTTCCGGGGGCTTCGCCCCCTGGGCCCCCACCAGGGCTTCGCCCTGGACCCACTGGGGGCCTCAAGGCGGCCCCCAAACCCCCTGCCTACTTTCTGCGCCCCCCTAACTTCAATTCCTGGATCCACGCCTGAGGACAATGTCATTTTAATGATAGAATGTTCTATCTAGGCCACTGTAATACTTGATTTAGTCAGAAGTCATAAGCTGAAAACAAACATGCTAAACTGATCCTAAACTGATCGAACAAAATTAAAATTGAAATTATATAATTTGCATCATCTCTTTTAAAAAGAAAATATAAATTCATATTATTATTATTTTTTTTTTGTAAAACCAAAAAATAATGGTTTATATACCGACAATAAAAAAGAGACCATAATTTTCAAATTATGAATAACTTTATAACATTGAGTGCACCTACAAGCACTGATCCCAATATAATGCACACACACAGGCATGTAAACTGAAGTAAACCAAACATAGATTTTCACTGATTAGCTAATACATGTATACATGTATAACTTGTTTGAAACTAGCAGTTTCTACTGAGTACACATGAACATAATACTTTTCGTAATTCCTTTTTTTTTTTCAAAGGGTCATTAATTCCTTCTGGTAAACATGGAAAATTATTATAAAATTATAAATGGATCAATAAAGACAAATAAGCTATTGTCTTCCCTTCAATTAAAGAGTGCTTAGGCCAAAATAAAAAATACCTTTGTTTCCCCTAACGCGACCGATCCAATTAAAAAGCACCGACTGGAAAGTTTTTTTCATAAGATTATTCCAATATTTTTTTTATGTTTATCATCTTTTATAAAATAGAATTCCATCAAAATCCGTTTTTATCAGAACGACTGATTTTGTTCTGTGATTTTCAAGCGTTTGTTGGAAACAAAATGGCGCCCACAACATGTCTCGATCACCGAGGGTTAGTTCATGTTTTATAAGAACAACGACGTATCAACCTTATGCCTTTAGCATATAAGAATCCTATACTCTTGAAACACTTTGTTTATAAAATAAAATATACAATAACCTTTTAATTAAGCATGTTAAAACCTGTCTTGAAATTAAGTACATAGAGAGCATGCTTAGGTCCATAGGCCCTCCTCATGATACCCCTCATGAGCAGACAAAGGGCCCACCTTGTAAACAAAACAATCAATTTCACTGCATTTTATTTGAGTTTCGATCTTATAAACAGTTTATCAATATTTCTATGTTTACTACATGTATTATGATGTATATGGGACCGTAAGAGTTGTAAAAAAGTCTGCATATTGCATCCTAATGAATAGAATTCAAACGTCTTTTCTTCCTGCCTTTCATTCATGGGTTAAACTTCATGACTTTGACATTGTGTATGACATTTTATCATTTTTAGATATGGATTGTCTCAATTAGATATGGTCAACTTACTTTTTCCAAATAGATTTGAAATTATGATACAAGCTTCATGAGATGTCCGTGTATCTGTCTTTAATAAGGCCCTTGAAGATTGGTTGTTTCTTTGATTTGAATTCCTTTGATAATTATCGGGACACCAACATTTATTTAAACATTTGTCTGGTGATCAAAGGCTCCAAATTTAGACTTGTATGCGGCACTTTAGGCCATTGAGCAGTGAGGGATCTTTTTCGTGCCAGTATCTACTGCAACACTGGACCTACAGTTTACATGTAAGTTTTTATGGTCTCATTCGAAGAACGGTCTCAAAGTCCCGCATTAGGATTGAACCTACAACTTAGAATTAGCTCCTTAAATCGAGACTCCAAAACGAAATGTTCTAGAACCAATGCACAATTCGAAGCCCTTGAAAAAGTACATTGTATGTGCAAGCACTGGAAGCTGATAGTAGGTATGAAATAAATACTCGGATGTCCGGTCTTTGTGTACCCAAGAATCTTTTAAACAGATGTATTCAATTTCAACAAATTTACTCTGGTATGAGATATTTCACAAGTTCGATTGAATATTATAATAGTCGTGAATTAATTTACCTTAAATGTTAGTCTTAACAGCATTTGTATGGTATTCTAGCTCTTTACAAATCGCTTTCTTTTGTACTTAACTTATTTATAAAGGTATCATTCCATTTAATTTTAAGAATGTATTTTCAAAGATGCTGTCCAAAAAAAATTATTTGCCTACCTACCTACCCAACTTGAGATTTTTGGGTCGGGTTAGGGGAAACAAAGATATTTTTAATGATGGCCTTATTGCAACATCCATAGCTTAAAAATTAGCTACATTCTAATCAGTACTGCATTTCAACTGTTATCCAAATGGATGCCATAAGTGATTTGTGGATACAGTATGTATATGGCACTATCAAAATAGTGAAGTACGGTAAGACAAAGAAGCTATTTATAGGTCAATAACAGAAAGGTGATGAATTGAAAACACAAAGATATATATGCCCGACTTTGATTGACCATTGTAGCTTTAGTTAATTCCTTCTTTGTTCTTGCATTAAATAAAAAAAACTTAGGTATCCAAATGTTCTGAATAATCTGTTGATTCAAATTGAAATGTCCTACACAGTTATACTTGATGATTTAAAAGGATAATGTGATTTCAGTACAAGAAAACAGCAGGGACAGGAAGATGTTTCAAGATTACAAAATCGGTTTAAAATCTCTTATTTCTGTCTGATTGAAGCATCAATAGATTGTGTTGCAGAAGGAGTACATTTTATATATCGATACACAAAATGAAGTTTTAGTTTGTTTTTTTTTTTTTTTGGGATACATTTCTCAAAAGCTTACATGTAATATGTGCATCTTTTGGTTTAAAAATTAGACTACATGTATATTTGCATTTATATGTTTAACATGTTTAAATGTTGAAACTCATTATAAATACAAAAGAAAAAAATAATTATTTTCCAAGCAAATAAAATGAAGTAATTAAAAGTTTTTGATTTTATTTTGGTTTGAAAATTTATCAAAGAATATTTAAGTTGAACTTCATGAAAAAGAAAAGCTGAAATCAAAATATTTGTATCAATTTACATGTCATGCTTGATAAATTTTGGAAATACTGACAGATACACCCTTGCACAACAGATATACATGGCTAAAATTGTAAATTTTTAGAGACTTTGCATGGTGTCATTTTAACTTTGTCTCATTTTAATATAAAATGAAAAATTTATAACCGATTAAAATATTGTGATCTGTATTGTAGCATAAATATTGTGATACCTAATATAGTTTATTAGATATAGAATAGTAGAAGAAAGTGTATTATCCCAGCCCTTTATATTTGCAGTGCAGTATAAAACAGTTCAATTGTATAGTAATGAAGTCAAGAGAATATGGACATGATTATATATGTAAATTGATAGATTTTGTTTTCATTTTTGCAGGTGTGTCTGATGGAATTTGTCATTTCATTCATAAATAATGCTGATAAAGATGCAAACTTAGCAATGTGCCAAAAAAGTGACAGCTTTGACAAGGAAATATATTCCATATATAACAGTTACTGTCTGAATGCAGTGAAAGGATCCAGATGAACAGATGAAGAGATTAAGTACAATGTACATCAATTACTTGGATGAAGAGAATCTGCAAAATGGGGTAAGGTATATTTGCTGCTTTATTAGTTATAAACTGTACATAAATTGTTAGCAGAAAATAGACACAAAAGCTTTAATTAATTAAAGCAAATCAGGGGTAAATACTAACTTTTAAAGCATGCAGATACTCAGTGATAGACTGATAGTCTGATAGTATCATAAAAACCAAAAGAACTTCAGTGACTTTGAATTCCTGATAGCCCTAGCTAATGAACTAGTTGCCCAGTACAGCCTTTGGCTGCTTATGGAGTCATGACTTGGGGGGTGTGGGGTGTGAGGAGGAAATGGATTTCCCAGTCGAGATGGGTATGAAGGTTAAAAATAGGGCCAATCAGAACCAGTTTATGGTGAGGCAGACTTACCTCCTTACATTTTATTGTAGTTATTTAACCCTTCACTCTTTATGAGTGAAATAATTCTTGAATGGGACACAAAACAACACTCAATCAATTGGTCACACTTCACTCACTGTTGCTCTGTACTGGCTCACTTATGCAGGTTAGGTTCAGCTTGGTGTTTACTAGTCATTCCAATGATAAATAAGAACATTTTTTGTGAGTCGACTGCACAGCAGTGCAACCCCTAGGGATCACTTTACCTGGCATCTGTCTGTCTGTCCATCTGTCACACCTTAAATCTCGAAAATTGTAAGAGGTTTAATTGTTTTTGATATTTGGTTAATATTTTGCTTGGCACTATGACTTTTTTTAAATACCATGGTTGCCAATCTTGTGACCCTTAAACTTACCTTTGACCTACTTATAAAAAAAAGTTTAAAGTGCTGATATTCAGCATATTTTTGATAATTTAAAAGAGGTAAGTCTATGCTATTTAGCATGTGCACAATTTGTTATAAATTATAATGAAAAATACCAGTTACTGAGTAATAAATAAGCATTACAGTTCACTTGACCTTGACCTTTGTTTTACTTTTCAAAAAATACTTTGAATCGTCAATTTAACTTAAACTTTTGATTTTCTAGAAGTAGTGTTTTGATACATGTAATTAGCATTGATGAGCTCATGACACTCTACTTTGAATCTCTTTGATATCCAGTTATCACACAAACTAAAACTTAAATCCTATGAAAACAAATCGGGATCAGTATACCACAATGGGTGGTAATGTAGATTGACAATTGCAGTATAGACAGCCTGAAATCTCTTTAGAAAAAAATGTTGAAAAGATTGTTGACCATAATATTTTGACGTCTCTATTTTAGTGAAAAATTCTTAAACAGGATGTAAAACGACATACAATTAAACAATCAATCCAACTACTGAGTGAGCTTTCTAGCTTCTGAACTACCAATTATGTCCAATTTGAAGTAATATTTGAATGTTTTAAAATGTGATTGTACATTGTAGGAAATAATGTTCCTATAGAAAAGTCAAAGAATGTATATACGTATGTGAGATTCTGAAGTAGCCGTACATGATGAGTAGGATTGGAATTTGAAGTGAATTATGGGAAAAGGTATGCAATCCATTAGTTTGCTTTAAATTTAGTGATTTTAAAGCTGAACACACTGTGTAAAAGGAATTTTTCCGCAATATTCCTTTATTCAAGCTGTATCATAGGGTCCCTATATAAGCAACTCACTTAGTCACTGTTCAGTGTAATCTGTTGTCACCTGGCTGTGTCGACAGACTGACGTATGCTACATAGCTCTTGGTAGCAACAAAAAATTACTGTGTACTTCTTTCACGGCAGGAGAGAAAGACGCCAATGAAACTTACAACAGTTGCACAGGTCAGTGCAGTATACAAACTTATTACATTTTCAAAAGTGAAATACTGTGATTTATTTATTGAATAAAAGTGATATTCTCTCACAGTGTGAAAGGATACCAAAATGATATTCTCTCACAGTGTGAAAGGATATCAAAGTAAGTAAAAAATAATTTCTGGCCTGTCATAAGATAGAAATCTTGATAGAGCTAAAACTGCAAATTTCTTCCCAAATATGATGCTAAAATCCATGCTATGTACGTAATGTTTTCAATCGCACAACTGCTAAGCTATGACGTCTCAACCGCTCAACTATGACGTCAAGCCTATGACACTGTGTTAAGAAAAGACAGAGGCAAAGGGAAAATCAAAGAAAATGTAATAAACAGGAAATTCAGTGTTTTATAGATGAATATGGAATTTATTTCACTCATGAGACAGGATTTTTTGATATTTTCACTCGTGCTTCGCACTCGTGAAAATATAAAAAAAATCCTGTCCCACTCGTGAAATAAATTCCATATTCATCTACAAAACATTCAATATCCTCTATATACACAAGTACACTTAACTGCAATAAAATAAATAAACAAAGGCAATGCAAGATAACCAGCATGAGCACGTGTCACCATTCCACTCCGATACCTGTGACAATAAAGCAGTCAGGTGTAACAAATGCGAAGAGTATACCCCGGTGCTGATATAGTAGATAATATAATCGAATATGGTGTATGCCTATTTTCGAGTCGTGTTCAGCTTTAATTGATTGTTTTTCTTTGACAATATGGTCATAGTCATTAATGGTATATACAGTGGCACCATGTTTATCCGAACACTTCACCTCCGGACGATATTTTTTGGGAATAGATTTTTTACATGTTATTCTGTCTCATTAATCCAGAAATTCGTGTTCCGCATCTGGACGGTCGATTTCTACTACAAAACGTAATAGTTCATTGAAAAATGACTCGTTTATGCGGACGGTAATTTTTCAAGAAACAACTTTTTCACACTCCTCTTGCATTAGTGTTAATTGTTGTAAAAGCATTGGCCATGCAGTCAGTTTTTAAGGCGGTACCTGTGATCTACAAACAATAGTCTAGAATTAGTGTGTATTTACCCCAATTAAATTACACGTCTATTATGAAGCTCAAAGAATTAAGCTTACACCAGTACACTGTGCATTAATTAAATAAGAAAGAGTTCAAAATCATATTGCTTACCGTATATACATCTGTAAATTCATAAGAATTTTGGAGAGTTAAAAATAAAAATGAACAATAAAATGAGCGATCTCATAATGACCTTGATCATGTTGACTGCATTAGTTTAAAATATGATTTTCCATTACTATAAAAATGTTAATGTATTTGAAATGATTTTTTTCACAGGACAGTTTAAAAAGGTACATAATTGAAGAAATGTCTCTCTATTTTTTTTTTTAATCAAAATTAAAACTTAAAGTTTGTAGAAAAAAATATCGATAATCTGACATTAAGATAGCTTGTAATCATGTTGAATGTTAATAATTACAATACTTTCACTGATTGCCAGTGAGTTAGCTTTCACCTGGTTCAGTTCCTATTAGTAGTCCTGTACAGTAATGAATATATGGGGTTAGTTTATATTTGAACATTTTCAACGATGATGCTATTATATTTTATGAGCTTCAATAATTATAAAATATGGTAAAATAAAACTGTTGTAGATCAAAATTTGCTCAGCCCATGAAGTCACATGCCAAAGAGAAGGCGAATAAAATTCTCTGTGTTAAAAAGGGAGGTCTCGGCATAAAATTGCCTATACATTTTTAGCTCACCTCAATGAAGTTGGGGGAGCTTATGTAATACCATCGGAGTCGGTGTCCCAGGTTAAGGTTTTTGGAGCAGTTTTCTTTTCAAGTACTTCTATGGCCTATATTAGTCAGAGATGCATGGAGGATGCTTCTATTGTGTTTTATTGTACCAGTCAAGGTTTCAGATGCTGCAATTTCAGCTAAAGAATGACCAGGTTAATGTTTTTGGAGCAGGTTAAAGTTTTTGGAGCAGATCTCATTTCCAAGTAACTATAAGCCCTATATTGACCAAACTTGCATGGATGATACATCTAAGGATGCACACTACTGAACTTGCTTCGGATGCTGGATCTGACCTACATTTTCCGGATGAGTGACTAGGTTAAAGTTTTTGGAGTAGATCTCATTTCAAAGTAACTATAAACCCTATTTTGACCAAACTTGCAAGGATGGTACATCTAAGGATGCACACTACTGGAGTTAAGGGTGCAACGATAAACCGTTTGACGGTATATCGCGGTATATTTTTCCACGGTTCAATTCACGATACGCTAAACTGATATCGCGGTTCGGTTCAACGGTCCAGAATTATCCGTTTTGTCCGTTTTATTTCCTTGTTTACTATTTCAAAATGGCTTCCGCGCAAAACGCGAGGTCGCAGATAACGCATTTACGGCAGTTAAACTCATCTCCAGCATCTTACAGACCTCAAATTTAACATGGAGAAGGACTTAATGTGATTATAAGTTATAGATGTTTAGACAAATGATTAACCCTTTAGATCTAAAAGTTTTCTTTGGTAATACACGATATTCCATCACGTGTGTATTTCGATGAAAATTCGCTGTCTTGTTGACTAAAACGTATTAACACGAGAAATATGACAACTGGTTTTCTACGTAAATAAAAGGAATAAAAGAATGAATGTCTTCCTTTTTCATTCCAATTTAAAAGGAAGATTATTAGGAAAGGTCCCCGTAGTTCCCTGTAAATGTTCATCATTGGTTTAGAATGTTGACACAACTCATAGATCTATCTACCTAACAATCCACTTCAAGTTAACAAAATTTTATTTTAATTATTATTAAAAAAAAATATATGAACATTTTGTATAACCCTGTCAAGTTTAAAAAATATATGATGACAAACTTGAAAGACTTTTTAACCTTGTTATGTATCGTGATACGTATCATATCGTGAACTGAATACCGTGATACGTATCGTATCGTGGGGTTAGTGTATCGTTGCACCCCTAACTGGAGTTGCTTCAGATGCTGGATCTGACCTATATTTTCTGGATGAGTGACCAGGTTAAGGGTTTTGGAGCAGATGTCATTTCCAAGTAACTATAAGCCCTATATTGACCAAACTTGCATGGATGATACATCTAAGGATGCACACTACTGGACATGCTTCAGATGCTGGATCTCACCTAAATTTTTGGGATGAGTGACCAGGTTAAAGTTTTTGGAGCAGATGTCATTTCCAAGTAACTATAAGCCCTATATTGACTAAACTTGCATGGATGATACATCTAAGGATGCACACTACTGGACTTGCTTCGGATGCTGGATCTGACCTACATTTTCTGGATGAGTAACCAGGTTAAAGTTTTTGGAGCAGATCTCATTTCCAAGTAACTATAAGGCCTATCTGAACCAAACTTGCATGGATGATGCATCAAGGGACGGACAATCTCAAAACTTGCTTCGGATGCTGGATTTGACTTACATTTTCCGGATGAGTGACTAGTTTTAAGTTTTCAGATAAGTCTATTCCCAAGTACAGTAAAACTTGTCTAATCCGGACACCACTCGTTCCAAAGAAATCAGCCGGATTAGACAACATTCCGGATTAGACAACATTTTAAACAAATGAATTTATTTGAAAAGGACTTGAAGTTAACATCGTATTAGGCAAGATTTTGGATTATACAACATCCAGATTACACAAGTTTCACTGTAACTGCAAGCCCTAACAGACCAAAATTGCATAAATGTTGCATCTAGGGATGCAAGGGATGCACACTCCTAGATTATTAGTTTAGAGTGGGACTTTGCCTTACTTAAAGACAGCATTCGTTGAGGTGAGCTCTGTAATCTCTGACTACCTATGTTTTTATCGTGTTAATTACATTGTAATATACTTTTCTTTAATTAATAATTACTTCTTTTAAACTAAAAACAATAAACCAAATTATTAATTTTTTTTTCCGGTATATGCATGTAAACATGCTTTGAAGAGGGGTTTTTAAGAGGTGATTCTCTTATCCGGACAATTCATTTATCAGGACGATTTCATTGGGGACAGAGGTGTCTGGATAAACAAGGCGCCATTGTATATATATCTATAATACATGCATATAAATGTACTTGCTAACAACAGTGAGTACAATAAAAAAATTTCCATTAAGTATATTCATTTTTTCTATGTGGTCTACTTTATTCCCAATTATCAGCAGTCTCCTTAATGGCCATATTTAAGTATAAGAACTAGGTTGCTATAGCAGACAAAAGGTAAATATAAAAATCTAAGTGCAAGGTACTTTATCACTCATTGAATGTTAATTAGGGCCTGCATGAAATGTTAAAGCTATATAGGATTCACATTCTCCATCTTTATGTCTTTCAGTCAGCAACACTTCAGTTGTGACACAATAAATAAGTTTTAATTTATGCAGTGTAATACTATACAGGGTATTGATGCATACAGTAAATGAGATCAGTAGAATGGTGTATTTGTATATACTGTATATGATATCAACAATTTTTCTCAGTGGTCTACTTTATGCCCAATTATAAGTGGTCTCCTCAATGGCCATATTTAAGTATAGCATATGTATAATACAGGTTGCTATAGCAGACAAAGGTAAATATAAAAATCTAAGTGCAAGGTACTTTATCACTGATTGAATGTTAATTAGGGCCTGCATGGAATGATAAAGC